ACAGGTTTGTTTAGAAAAAGTTTATTGAGAAGAAAAAGAACAGAAATAAAGTGGGACTCCAGGCCAGGGAACCAGGCCTGGGAGGGGCAAGGAAGCCAAAGTGGAATTGTGTCTCAGGGAATATATACCTTTTTTTCCCTCATTATTCTAAAGTTCTACCAGTCTCTTTGTGATTGGTCAGTTTTTGGCTGTCTCACTTAATTTGCTACTGAGTGGGAGATCTTCACATTCCTTATCTAACAGGTCTGTCTTTCCCTATTTGTTATATCTTTATCTTTATGGTCTAGCCCTCCCGGTGAGCATCTTTACACTTTATCTTATCATCTGAAGAAAACCAGGACCATCCTTAACAAGATTATCTGTAGTTGCTAGGATGTTTGTTTTTCCCAGTGGAATCGGTTTCATTTCCTTGCTCATCCTTATCTCTGAAGCCTTCCTGAATTCTTCAGAGGTCCCCTCCTGCACTGTCCCTAAAAACTGCCTAATAACCCTAGCTTGCCCTGTCTCAGTTGCATCTTAACTCCTTGCGCCACTAGGGAGAACAAAATCTTAGCAATTTCCATGTTTTTTTTTAATCTGAAAAAGAAGTTATGTTACAGGGCAGGGAGAGGGGCACTCCACACCCTGCAAACCTGCCTGCTTTAAATAGGTTCTGCCATCTGACACATCAACACAAAACATATGAGACTTTGATGAAAAGGAACTTTAAAACAATTAGGAAACAATACAGGAAAGGCAGAGAATATAGTTTCTAAATCTAGCACCCAAAGTTATCCATCCCCTCATGGGTAAAAGTCCACCCAAGCGGGATTGGCCCAGAACAAGGCCCCAAAGCCTGTCACAAGTCTAAAGCATCTTCCAGTGGGGTCCCACAGAAAAGGATCAGAAACAACCAGGCAAGTCTAGAAGGAAAAGAGAAAAATCAAAATCAAGACAAAAACCGCCATTGTCACCTCCCCACAGGTCTCACCCACATCTGTTTCAACCAGTCCATGACCAAAAGCAAGTGTAGTTTCTTCACATGTCTCTCGGTTCCATGTGCCTCCTCCAGGTCTCCTTCTGGCTCTCCATCCTGCTTCCTTCCTTCCCTAGTCTCCTCTGCAACCTCTTCTCTCCCTGCTCAGCTCCACCCTCCCTTGGGTGGGGCAGGAGACCTGGAACCTTCCCCTTTTCTGGGGACCACCCTGTTACAGTTATGCTTTACTAATATTTATTATATATTTAAACTAGCAAAAACATATGATGTACAGAGTAAGTAGTGATAGGAATATATGGGTATATAATTTTTAACCAATTAGAGTATGTAATTTAAAAATGTGGAAACTATATAAGTAACTGCTGTGTAATTGAACTTCCTATAAAATTTCACTCTTTTTCTTTTGATTTTGTGTTGAGAAAGGCCATATTACCAGATGCATTTGAGGGCCTTGAATAAATCGCACATGGTAGTATAGGTTTACCACATTAAAAATACCATATTCTTATATTGATTGGATATATTTGTCTTTTTTTTTTTTTTTTAAGATTTATTTATTTATTTATACAAGCACTGGGTACAGTCAGAAGCGCGGGAGGGTGAGAGAATTCACCAGAGCCAGAGCAGGGAACAGAGCAGGCAGAAGGACCGAAGTACACTGCTGGGGGGAGCAGCGGGCAGCAGGGAGAGGTCTGCACGCCATGTGGGATCCTCCTCCGGTGGCCGGGGAGCAGCCGGGGATCGAACCAGTGCTGCCGAGGCTGCGGGCAGCTTCGCAACCCAGCGCTCAACCGCTACTCCACCGGGGAGGCCCCTGGATATATTTGTCTTTAATTAGAGTATTTTAATAAGGCAAAAAACAACTTACTGTTGTTATTTATAGAAATGTCTTCAATGTAGACCTTTTTTTGGGTCTTGATTCCAGCATTGATTGATTTTACACACACTCAAAGAAAATTTAAATAGCTGTTGTGGTGTTAATCTGATATTCAAGAAAAAGACACTATAAGGAGTCAACAAGTTAAACTTCATCATAACTAGTGATCAAAGAATGTTTATTGTCACCGGCTTAATTAAATATCGGATCTGATATCCTGCATAGTAAACAGAGTCTGGACGTTATGGACTGCATTTTGTACAATATAGTTTTGTGAAGAGAGATTTTCTGTTTCATAGTATGGATGTCAAAATACTGAAAAAAAAAAATTGGAAGTATACAACTTACAACTTTCTCTTATTAAGAACAATAGCAGGGCCTCCCTGGTGGTGATTGAGCACAGAGCTGTGAAGCTGTTGGCAGCCTCTGCAGTATGAGTTCGATCCCCAGCTGGCCTTGGAGCAACCCACATGGCGAGCAGATCTCTCCTGTCTCGTCCACTGCGCCTCTCAGCAGTGTATTTCATCAGTCTGCCTGTTCTGTTCCCTGCTCTGTCTCTGATGAATCCTCTCACCTCCCATGCATCTGGCCTGTACCCTGGCTCTTGTATAAATAAAATAAATCTAAAAAATAAAAAAGAACAATAGCAGTTACTTAATTTTAGCAAAATAACAGCATCCTTCAAATGGAATTAATGTTTTTAGAATATTATTACATTGATGGTCTTGTTAGAATTTAATATTTTTAACGAATTTAACTTAGAATTTTATATTTATAATTTTATAAGAGTTATAAAGTTAAAGAGCTTACATATATTTAAGTATCATACAAATAATTTAACACTTGGAGTAAGCGAGAATTTTTTTTGTCAGAAATGTCTGAACATTTCTTAAATTTCAGAACAGTGAATTGAATATGTAGTTAGACTTCAAAACCATTGTAATCTAGTCTGTATCTTGACATGATTTTCATTTATTATCTACATATATAATAATTTTTATGCTATGTTGATTTATGTTAACTGAGAGTTCTAGTACTTTAGTCTCAAAATTATCTGTAGAAAAAATGTTGATTGAATTTGTGATTTTAATCTTAAATTACTACTATATTAACATTGTGAAATTAATCTTAAATGAAAAACATGACCTTAAGGGAATAGTTTTATTTTTATATTGTGATTTTGAGGTCAGTTCAGACTTATTTTTTTTAAAGATTTATTTATTTATGCATACAAGAACTTGGGTATAGGACAAAGGCGCGGGGGCGGGTATGGTGAGAGGATTCAGCAGAGACAGAGTGGGGAACAAAACAGGCAGATTGACTGAAATACACTGCTGAGGAGAGCAGTGGGTGAGTCAGAAGCAGTGTGCTGCGCCATGTGGGTAGCTCCCTGGCTGGGGATCAAACTCGTGCTGAAGTGGCAGCGGACAGCTTCAAAGGTTGCGTCTTAACCCCTTGTGCCACCAGAGAGGCCCAGTTAAGACTTATTTATTAGTGGTTCATAACCAAAAAAAAAAAAAAAAAAAAGATGTGACTGATAATAACTAAGTTATGTAATATGTTAGTAATGGAGGTTAAGTAGTAATGTAAATGAATTTTCATGAGTTATTAAAAAAAGAGAAAATGAGAAAATATGTTTTCCATTTTAAGAGGAAATTCATAGAATTTCACCATTCTGTGAGTATGAATAGTAACAGCTGAAGATCTGATCTTTGAATGAGGCAGGGTTGGAACCTTTTCAAAATAGATATCTAGCCAAATTTTTAGAAAAATCACAATGTTTCCATTTTGAACTTTAATGTATTTGGAACATATGCAGCAGAACATTTTCTTCTTGCTGTCTTCTGCCAACTAATTTTGTATACCACATTAATTTTCTCCTTATGTTTAGGAAATTTTAAATATATGATAAAATAAAGAATTGCTTGATTCATGTTCACCAGTTTTGATGGTAAGGTCAAGATGAGAGGTTTTTTAAGGGAGATTTTGCCATTTTCTTTCAAAGAAAATATATGCAAAAATGCAGATGTTTCATTCACTCAATGAATGTTTATTGAATACTTACTGTTTTCCAGGCACTGTCACTAAGCCTGAGTGTTCCACTGGTCAACAGGACAGATAGAACCTCTGCCCTCAGAGAGCTTATGTTTTTATGGGAGTGGTAGTAGGAAATCATAGGGTCTTCAGCTTCATAAATTATCTGTGGAAAATAAAACATACAGTAGGAATAGAGTACTTTCTGCGATTGAAATGATGTGAAGATTTGGGTGGTGATATATCTAAGTTAAGTCAGTAGCCCTTAAAGTGGGAAAAACTTGGCATTTTCCTGGAACGGAAAGAAGGCCAGTGGGGAAGGGACTTGGGGAACATGGGTGGTAGGGGCTGAAGTTAGAAAGATAGACAGTTAAGCCTTGTAGACCACATGAGGAGTTCCAGGTTTCTTCTTAATTATAATGGGGAATGTTTGAAAGGGTTTATATCAGAAAGTTTAGTGATTTGACTTATTTAAGGATGGTCACTCTAGTGACTGTAAGGAGAATTAACTGTCAGAGGATGAGAGTTGAAGCAGGAAGTCATGTAGAGAGTTATTTATTCTGGCATCTAGTTATGAGATAATGATGGCTAATATTAGGGAGATGGACTAGAACCAGTGAAAAGTGATTGGATTGGAGATGTAACACAGCGGTATAGTGATTGCACTTGCTCATGGATTACATGTTATCACACTTATGCATTTGGAATACTGACAGTTAAATTCTTTGGCATATCATAGTCATATGGACTCTGCAAGTCTTAAGAATGTGAAATATTACTAAAACTCAAGTATTTGGGGAAGACAATGGAGATCCTTTCTCTTCCCATTGCTATTTGATATAAAATAATACTCTCTTGGGATAAAGATTTTAAGCTATTATTAGTAACTTTAAATTCTGTAGATTGTAAATTCATGCCAGATTGTTCCAATTTCGTTAATACCCTAATTAAAAATATAGAAAAATAAAGGTTTTTTTAAATAGGTATCCATCATTTTGTTCTTTTTAATGAAGAAAAGTGCATATAATGACTATATGATATAAATAAAATGGATCTATTTTAACTTCTTGGTTTTATTTAAGTAGTATATTTACTCTAGTTTTTTCCCTCCAGTCACATTGTGCTGATGCTTGCAGATGACATGGCATGCAACCCTAGAAATCCCAAGCCAGCTACAGTTTTCAGTCATAAGAATATGGAACTAAATGTATATGGAGATGATGTAGAAGTGGATTACAGAAGCTATGAGGTAAATTATTTAATTTAGTAACATTTTTGAAATGAAATTATGGTAGTTTTAAGCTCTAAAATGGTGGTCAAATAAAAGTCTGATCTTTTTCTTTAAACTTTGTGCAGTCTTGATGTAATTCTGTATCAGGTTCATACTAAGGAAAGAATAGATGAGTGTAAAACTTATTACAACATAAGCACTATACATGCATATAGGAATAGAACAACTTTATATTGACTTCTATATTAGTTTCAGTAGGTTTCTTGCATCTGTTCTTTTACAGTAAACATATTATTTATTTTTCATATTTGATATAAAATTTCAAGTTTTACATTTATAGTAAATATATTAATTGTGGAAAAATTAAAATGACAAACAAAAATTCACCCATTTCCACTGCTCAGAGATAAATACTTCTAATATGCTTCCAGATATTTATGTGTATATGTTTAAAAATGAAAATGTAAATTTACAAAAGTGGTATGTTTTCTTTCTTTTTTTTTAAAGTTTTTTTTTTTTTAATGCCTATAACAGCTGGGGTAAAGGCTAAAGGTGCAGGTAGTGAGAGGATTCACCAGAGACCGAGTGAGGAGCAGAACATGCAGATCGACTGAATTACACTGCTGAGGGGAGCGGTGGGCATGTGAGTTAGCTCCCTGGCTGGGGATTGATCTCATGCCACAGTGGCTGGCAATAGCTTGATAGCACTGAGACTTTAACCCCTGCGCCACCGAAAGGCCCTGTTTTCTTCCTCTGAAACTTCATTTTAAATTAACATGGTGAACATGTTTAAAATTTGAAGTCTTCCTTGATGAAATCTTCCTTGGTAATCCTTTCCCTTTCACCATGCCTACCAAAAGTAAACAGTTTCCTGTGTTTGCAGTCCTATTTTGAAGCAATTTTAAAAGCATCTTTATCTCCTGGGCTGTAAGCTCCTTGAAGACATAGCCAGTATATGTCTTATACCTAGCAAGTACCTATAGCCCTTTGAAGGCATGCAAAGATGTTTGTTCAATGACTATGTTTGTGGGTACTTTTACTTGTTTATTTAGACATCATTAAATGTAGACCAAAATTTCCTTCTTGCTAGCCAACAAGAAATTCTGTTACAACACTTTCCATTTTGCTGTATTCTGAGGAAAATATAAATCAAACTACACACACACACACACACACACACACACACACACACACACAAAACGCTCACATTTACATAACCATGATGTGGGGAAAAGTTGAATTAGAAAACTGGATAGACTTTTTGCATTTTAAATGTAGATCTGTGTAATATATGATATAGCTGTTAATTTTAAATTAGCATAACATTATTTATGACTATAAATATGCTTTTAAACAAACTGTGAGGTTCAGAAACTCCAGGTTGGGAAATTGGCTTAAAATGTTATAATTTTTTTCACATGTTAAAGATACCTCTAATGAAAATTAGGTAATAAAGTACATTAAAAAAAATTAAAGATACATAACTTGGGAATTATTTATGGACTTATCCTTATGGTTTCATTTTTATGATTTATATCTTTCACAGTTCATCTGGTATTAACTAAGTAATTACACAGATTAACTGTAATCATTATAATGTATTATTCACATTTCTCTTTTTTGTATCTTTATAATGAATTGCCTGTGAAGCCAGATTAATAACTTTTAAGCTTTTGGTAATACTTTGCATAGCATTTAAAGTTTTAAATTTAGAATTAGGGGCCTCCCTGGTGGCGTAAGGGTTAAGACACAACCTATGGAGCGATCCACAGCCACTTCGGATTCCTGGCCAGCAAGAGAGCAACCCACATGGTGGAGCAGACCTCTCTTGTCTCGCCCCCTGCTCCCTTCAGCAGTGTATTTCAGTCAGTCTGCCTGTTCTGTTTCCCACTCTGTCTCTGGTAAATCCTCTCACCCCCTCTCCCACCCCCCACCACACCTCTGGCCTATACCCCAGCTCTTGTATGCATAAATAAATAAATCTTTAAAAAAGAAAATTAGAATTAACTTGTTTTTCCATAGGTAATATTTATGTGTTCATTTTAGTTTTTTTAGATGGATGCAAAGTTGCTTTGAGGTATGTATTTAAATATTTAATTGACTACAACTGAAAACATGTATTTAATTGAATAATATTTCTATGTCTTATTTTCATTATACTGAGTCATAGAAAAAGAAGAAGGAGTATTTTTGAAAGTAAAAAAATCATCTGTTTCCCCAAGTTCTTCAATTTTATCTGATTATTTTAGGTAACTGTGGAGAACTTTTTACGAGTATTAACTGGGAGGATCCCACCTAGTACTCCTCGGTCTAAGCGTCTTCTTTCTGATGACAGGAGCAATATTCTTATTTATATGACAGGTAATCTCAGATTTTAGGCATTTAATAATGGAATATATTGCAACTCTTTCAAAAAGAAATCTGCGTGGAAAGAAATTTAAACACCCTAAATGATTTTTGGTTACAAGAGTTAAATTGTTAAATAGTTCTTTTTATCCATAATATGTATTAACTTGAAATGATATTTGAAAATACTTTTGTCCTCCTTTTTCTTCTTATCTTTATTCTTTTTACTTACTGTCCTAAGAAAACTTACCACTTTTTACTTAGTATCCTGCTGTAACCTCTCTGACTTCAGTTTTGTCTCATTATTCTTATCTCTAAAGTGTTTAATAGAAATCCACATCTGTTCCTTCCTGCTTAAAACTTTTTAATCATTTTGCTTTGATTCAGTCTCAAATTTCAGTGCACATAATGATTACCTGAAAGAAGATAAGAAATTTTCCTAAAATTCTGATTTAGTTTTGGAATGGAGTTGGGCTCATGAAACTGCAAATTAAATATATTCCTCAGATACAAGCTGTGGTAGTCTTTTCATTAACCTTTGAGGAATATTGGTGATGAAATATTAATGTAAATTAATTACATTAATTTAGTTGCATATAATACATATTATCAATTATTTATTTACTTTAAGTTCTTACACTTTTTCTTATTATCTGCCATACATTTGATCTTTCTGTCCTCCAGATATTTGTTTAAGCTATTGTCTTTGCTTACAAAAGCGTCTCACTTCACTTTGCCTACCTGATTGTTCCTTATCTTTTTAGTCTTAGCTCAGTCTCATCCTTCAGTGATTTTTCCTTTCTCAGTCTAGGGTCACCTATGACTCCAATTGTCTGGGACAGTCCTAGACTATACTTGTTTTCTCAATTTCCCAATTGTTACAGAACCTTCTTTCTCCCTCAGAATTGTCCTGATATGAGTGATATATTTTATAACTGTCTTAAGACGTATCTCTTTCCATGGCAATGTAGGCTCCTTTGCACTAGCATATTAATCCAGTTTCTATCTTAGCATTTAACTGAATATTACTTTCTTGTTTCGATAGTTACTGCCTTCACTAGATTTTGAAACCCAAGATGGCATTGATAATGTGTCTTTTATCCTTTTTAGTCACTAGTGGCGCGTTTTATAGTAGTACTCAGTAAAATGAGTGGTGCTCAAAATGATAAAAATTTTTCAGAGTATTCCTTTCAACTGATGATGAAGCAGGCGCAGATTGAATCTTAGATGTTGCCTAACAGGACAGTTACTGACTCCCACTTAGTGGCTTGCTTTTCTTTATCCTGTTGCATTTATTTGCAGCTTTGATTTAGTCAATTTATAAACTTTATAAATTAATAGAGTTAATATAGCCAGGATTATTTTCATTTTATGTGATCTGAAAGTTATAACCTTTTTGACAAATCAGATGAAGTACAGTCTTGTAACTTAGCTTTACTTAATGTGCTTAGACTAAAGATTATGATAATATTTTTTTTCCCAATGAGTCCACTTGTACTTTTTAAGGATAACTCCAGTTATGGAAGAAATTCCAGTTGTGTAAGATAATATTTGGTAAAACTATAATAGAATGGCACTCTGTTTTGTAAATAAAGTTTTATTAGAACATGGTTGCATCATTTGTTTCATAGTATCCATGACTACTTTCATACTACAGTGGCAGAGTCCAACATCAATTTTTAGGGGAGGACTATACTTCCTAGTAGTATTTTCCTTTTTTTTTTTTTTGAAGATTTATTTATTTATGCATACAAGAACTGGGGTACAGGTCAGAGGTGTGGGGAGGTGAGAGGACTCACCAGAGACAGAATGGGGAGCAGAAAAGGCAGAGCTACTGAGATACACTGCTGACGGGAGCAGTGGGCGAGACAGGCAGGGTCTGCTGCACCATCTGGGTAGCTTCTTGGCTGGCCAGGCATCAAACTCATGCTGCAGAGCTGCGGATAGTTTCATAATGCTGTGTTTAACCCCTTGTGCCACCAGGGAGGCCCCCTAGTAGTACTTTCAAGCATGCTTCCAAGTATACACTGAACAGTATACCATAGGATCAACTCATGTCTTCAGATCCTTTCTCATCAAAAATGTTTGCATGATATTTGAGAAGTTTTTATCTGTGGAAATTCATTTCTGGTGTAATAATCGAGTCAGTACAAGAGTATAAATGTGCTTTTCTAGAATTGAGTGATAGAAAAACTCTTAGATTTATCTACAGTTTTTTATAGCTTACCATTCTTTAGAATGGTAACTATAACTACTGATAGAAAATTAAATATTTTTGCATTATTTTTAATTTTACAGAATGAAATAGCAAATTTTATTAAAATATTTACACCTGAAATTATGCAGTTTACTTAAAAGAAAGTTTCCGTTTTGTCTTTTTGACTCTTTCTACAAGGACATGGTGGGAATGGTTTCTTGAAATTTCAAGATTCTGAAGAAATTACCAACATAGAACTTGCAGACGCTTTTGAACAAATGTGGCAGAAAAGACGGTAACTATCAAATAACTACTTTTCATAAGATAAATTAATAACTAATTTTTCCATGATTAGTACATTTTTAGTTCTTATTTTGTGGGATTTTAACTTATTTCAATCATATGTTTTACCTTTTAGATTTGTGTTTGTTATTTCCACTGAATTGTTATTTTTAAAAGAAAAAAATTCACAGCTATTAAAGATCATGGAAAGATAGTTAGCCTTTAAAGCAGTATCTCTTGTTATTTAGCTACCTGTTTGGAGAAAATATAAGTCCTACTAACCAAGTTCCTCATTATTTTGGGAGGATTGTGAACATGTTTATTTTCTAATTTGTACCTATTCCTACTTTTTTCCTTATTCTCTGACCCTCACTGTCAGAGGGTCACCCTCCTCACTGTGATAGCAGTGCATTCTTTCTTTCATGGGAAAAGATGCTGAAATTATGATTAGTATAAACCATAATTCACATTGAGTTTGAAATATTGATAATCCCTGGTAAGCAATCCTTTATTTAAAAGTTGTCATAAGAATTTGAGTGAATTTAGAGTAGCAATTATGGGTTACCTTCTAAACTTGGCACAAAGGGGAATCTCATGCTTATTTTATCTTCAAAGTGGATGGAAGTATCAAGGTAGAAGTTTTTCTAGGTACTAGCTATGTCTTAGTCATAGCATACATTAAATATATAATAGCTGCTAGGTTCTGTGTTTTATATGTGTTGTCTAATTGAATAATTTTGTGGGGCAGATATTGTTATTATTCCTATTTTTACAAATGAGTAAATTGAGTCATATATAGGTTAAGTAACTTACCAAACTGTACACAGCTATTTAAGTGCCAGCACTAGGCTATACACCCAGGAGGCTGATCCTAGAGCTTTGCTTTCTTAGTTGTTTTATTGTGCCTTCTACCATCTGCTTAGATTTTATGGTTTAAAATCCCATACTTTCTTTTCTAAATGCAGTGTTAGCTGTTTACCTAGATCCAGTGTCTGAAAGAAACTGCTAAGAAAACATACCTGTTCCCTGCTTTCAGCTTTACCAACTAGCATTTTATTCTAAAATATAGAGCTGGGCCTTCCCTGGTGGCGCAGCGGTTGAGCGCTGGTTTGCAAGGCTGCCCGCAGCCTCTGCAGTGCTAGTTCGATCCCCAGTCACCAGCAAGGATCCCACAAAAAAAAAAAAAAAAAAAAAATAGAGCTAACTATGTTATTCTTTCTATTAAAAAAGCCTTTGGTGGCTTATTCAAACTTCATATGGAATCCTTGGTAGAGTGGCAGTACCCTCATTTTGAAGATATTTCCCACTTCTTTCCCCTAGATTTACTCTAAATCCTAGATATACAGGTAATGTTCCATTTTCCCTAAACATTTGTATCTTTTCACATTTGTGCTTCTGATTATAGACCTTTTCCTCTGATGGAATGTGTTGCTCCTTTCTTTGTTAGATAAAATAGCTCTGACCCTTCATTGTCCATCTTAGATATAACCTTTCCCTGACTTGCCTTTGTTTACAGTTCCCTTTGTGAGGGTAGGAATTAATTGTTTTATGCCTGGAAGAAAGTCAAGCACAATGTAGGGTCTCAATAAAAGCTTGTAACAGTTACCACATTCCAATTTAGTGATATGGCTGTGTACCTGTGTCCCAGTTAGTAAGCTCTTTGAATATATTGACTGCATAACATATATTTTTTCCCTGACGCTGGCTCAGTTTCTAGGTGAGTCTAGGTTGCAAGTAAGTGTTTGTTGAATCGAATATTCATTTAGATACTGCATTAAGTGGCATAGATAAGGGAGGGGAAAGAGTTGGGACAGCCACTTTTTAGCACCCCCACTACATGCAATTGAGATATTTCCCTGTACAGAATTATACCTTTAGTTTTTCTATTACCAGATTTATATTGGGAATTATACTGAAAATTCTCAGGTTTTTAGCTAATGAAACATAAGATAACTTAGTCAATGTATGATTAATACCATGATTCATGTCAAAGATATTATCACTTTTCTTTCAGCTATAATGAACTGCTATTTATTATTGACACTTGTCAAGGAGCATCCATGTATGAACGATTTTATTCCCTAACATAATGGCTTTAGCTAGTAGCCAAGTGGGAGAAGATTCACTCTCGGTATGTATGTTTTTTCCAACTCTCTTTGGAATATGTAGCTATTTTTGAAATCACATATATGCTTTATGAATACACCTGATATTTTTCATTCTTATACTTTTTAACACCTTAAGAGAAAACTTTGATTACAGTTTAAACATTTTGTTATAGTGATGCTATTTTAGACCTATAACATTTTTTTTTTTTTTTTCATAGCATCAACCTGATCCTGCAATTGGAGTCCACCTTATGGATAGATACACATATTATGTCTTGGAATTTTTGGAAGAAATAAATCCAGCTAGCCAAACTAATATGAATGACCTTGTAAGTGTTTTCTTGATTTGATTATAACCCTTAGGTATGTTAATCTTAATGTGATGAATGAAGTCTCTTATACCCTGGCTCCTTTGGTACTGTTTCATATGTTGAATAATAATCTTTTAAATTGTTTTGAATTTCCTTTTGCAGTAGTCTCTCTCTCTTTACCCTCAAGAGACCTAAAGCTTTAGCCTAGTTAACTTGCTATTCTTTGGGATACAGTCTTTTTTCACTCACTTGCTAAGCTCTTTTCTCTATCAGAAGTGTAGTATTTTTATATTCACAAGTTGAAATTCTGCCTAGTGTTTGGGAATCCAATCAAGTCCTTTTCTTCCAGGAAGTCTTCCCATATTTTTCCCTGATGGAATTTATGTAAGAGAAATATAATAGTCTCTTCTTTTTGAATTGTGAATATTTTTCATATGATTGTGAACATCTTTCTTATTTAATTTGGTAAGTTCCTGAAAGAAAGGGACCTTCTCTTATGTATTTTTGTATACCCTGAAACTTCACGTATAGTGTTTTCATGTAGCTTGTTGAATTTTGTTCACTATTCTTCCCCCACCCCGGCTTTTTAATGCTGATTAATATTTTTTTAGTTTAACCTATTTTGAAGTTGATATTGAAAGCAGGCATCAGAAAAAGCTCGAAACAACAAACTAGATTGAATAATTATTGTGTGTCAATGACTTTCACTCATTTTTCCATTAATTTATACCTTGTTCATTTATTCACAAACATTTCTTGTGTTTTTGTTAAGTGCTGTTCACTGTCTGTGCCCTAGTGAGTCAGACATGTTCCTGTCTTCTTGGCTCTGAGCTCTTAGCATTGCAACCAGACAATTTTGCATTGATGTCTTTATTGTACAGAAACCTTTTTATTTTATGGAAATTTTTATACAAATGGGGACCTGGGACCTCCCTAAGCACTGCATTATGAAGCTATATGCGGCCTCTGCAGCACAAGTTTGATCCCCTGGCTGGCCAGGGAACTACCCACATGGCACAGCAGACCTCTCTTGTCTCGCCTGCTCCTCCCCTCAGGAGTGTATTTCAGTCAGTCTGCCTGTTCAGCTCCCCTCTGTGTTTCTGGTGAATCCTCTCACACACACACCCCTCCCCTGCATTTCTGGTCTGTACCGCAGCTCTTGTATGCATAAATAAATCTTTATTTATTTATTTATTTATTTATTTATTTATTTATTTATTTATTTGTTTGTTTTGTTTATATATGCACTGGGTACAGTCAGAAGTACGGGAGGGTGAGAGAATTCACCAGAGCCAGAGCGGGGAGCAGAGCAGGTAGAAGGACCGAAGTACACTGCTGAGGGGAGCAGCGGGCAGCAGGAGAGGTCTGCGCGCCATGCGGGACCCTCGTCCGGTGACCGGGGAGCAGCCGGGGATTGAACCGGCGCTGCAGAGGCTGCGGGCAGCTTCGCAACCCAGCGCTCAACCGCTGCGCCACCTGGGAGGCCCTAAATAAATCTTTAAAACAAACAAACAAATGGGGTTCTGATGCAATATTTTGAAAACTGCTATTAGAAGCTATTCATTGGATAAAATAGAACGATTTGCTACGTTTTTGAAGGATATAATTTTGATTCCTGTTATATCTTAATATGAATATTAAAAGAAGCATGTGATAAAAAGCTAATTTATCAGAATATTAGTCACCTAAATTCTAGCTATTTAATTTTAAAGTTTATTCTCATTTTAGGATTATACATTGAATATTTTATGTAATGTATGATGTGCTGTCTCAAAAATTTAAAATACATGCACCTAGCACTTTAAATGTCTAATGGATTTTTAAAAAAATACTTTTTCATTAGAATTACATTGGGGACCTCCCCTCGTGGCGCATGCAGTTGAGCGCAGCTCTGTGAAGCTTCCACAGCCTCTGCTGTGCGGGTTCAGCAAGACTCCTACATGGCACGGCAGGCATCTCCTGTCTCACCCACTGCTCCCCTCAGCAGTGTATTTCAGTCAGTCTGTCTGTTCTGTTCCCCGCTCTGTCTCTGGCGAGTCCTCTCACCCTCCTGCACATCTAGCCTGTATCCCCATTCTTGTATGCATGAATAAATAAATCTTTAAAAAAAATAAAAGAATTACATAGGGAGGACTGAAGAAACCAAATTTTATTGCGTCCAGTTGCTATTTAGTTTTTAATAAACATTCCTCGCTGATATCTTGCCCTCCTACCTCAATTCTTTGTATTGAATTGTGATTATTTTAATCTTTTTTAGTAAGAATGATCTGTTAACTTTAAATTTACCAGTGCACTGATTTGGCATATTTCTGGTGATAACTGTATTTGGTCAGACTATTGTATGTATTGTAAAATTTGTTGAGTATCATCTGTATTGAGGAGTATCAAAATTAGAAGATTTGGTGCTTAGCCCCTTAAAAATTTATAGTGTCTGAGTTGAAGAGCATTATTTATTTATTTATTTATTTATGCATACAAGAACAGGGGTACAGGCCAGAGATGCGGGGAGGTGAGAGGATTCACCAGAGACAAAGCAGGGAACAGAACAGGGAGATCAACTGAAATACAGTGCTGAGGGGAGCAGTGGGCGAGTCAGGAGAGGTCTGCTGCGCCATGTGGGTTAGCTCCCTGGCCGGGGATGGAACTCTTGCTGCAGAGGCTGCAGATAGCTTCATAGGTTGTGTCTTAACCCTTGTGCCACAAGGGAGGCCCTGAAGGGCATTTTTATAGACTATCACCTCTTACATGAAATCTCTGCAGGTAATGTTTTTTCCTCTATAGACATATAACTTTTGCTATGTACCTTTATTATGCTCACAGTATTGCTGTGTAATTGTTTGTGTAATTGATGTTCACTTGAGGTTTTGAGCTTCTTAAATAAGAGGTATAATAACCTTGCTTTATGTATTTTACTACCCTCAGAACTTAATTACAGTAGTAGGTATATTTGTAGATACTTAGTGAATATTTATTAAATAAATGAAAGGATGTGAAAACAATGCAGATTTGTATGGTACATTTAAATACAATGGGATTAATGAAAAAGTTTTTCATGGAAGAGGTAGATTTCTAGGTTTGGTAAGAAAAAAAGTATTACATACTTTAGGAAAATGTAATACCTGCATAGGCACAGAATTTGAATTATAGATGATCATTGCCTTTGATAATAAATATAAAGCCTGGGTAGAGTGTAGAAATTCCGTAAGTAAATGAGGATTGGTGAAATTAAACTGAATAATTGTGGTACCTACTTGGTAATTATGTTACCGAGGGTAAGGAAATCAGATTGCTATGATGAGGATTCTTGAAAGAAGGAATAATTTCATAAAAAGTGGAAATATGATTGTTATACCAGTAAAGAAGATAATACTGAAGAAAAAAAAGAAAAAGATGGTAAATAGTGTTTCCCAAGCTCATTTTGACTATGCTTTTCCTGCTTTATTTTGCTGGTACCTAATAAAGCATACCAAGTTGCTCATTTAGGAATATCCTGAGAGGCCTTCAGTATACCTAGGCATTCTATCTTATCTTTTACTTTGTGTTTTTTTTTTTTTTTTAAACTTTCATCTGTTTTGTCCTTTCTGTTTGGTATGTTACTTTCTTGAGCTCCCTCCATCCTTTTTCCTTTGCTTTTTAATTTATTTCCTGATGTCTTCTTTGTAGTTTCTTCTATTGCTTTCCTGGACACAGAAGGCAAGAATTGCTAGCAATATGATGTTAAGCAAATTACTTACTCTCTTTGAGCCTTAATATGAAGTAGAGATAATAATTTTTATAATCACTTAAAGTTATTATTTGGAACATTGTGTTTCATAAGTGATGGCTCTCTACTTTTCCCTAACATACTCTGGTTATTATGTTGGTGTTTACTTATGCAGGTATTCTGTTGCCACAGGTGGGCAAGCCCTGACTAGCAGCCTATAACCTTTTTCTTCATTTACTCTGTATTTCTGCCAAACTAATTGTCTTGCACATCTCTGTAACTGCTACTTTCTTAGGAATGCTCATATTTCCCATCTGTAATCTTCCTCTACCTTCAAAACATAGTTTGATACTTTGCCCTCTCTCTTTTTTTCTTGTCTTCAAACTATAAGAAATTTATCCTTTTTCTGAAGTACAGCCTGTCACTTTTTCTTTCTACCTTGTTATACTTACTCATTTCTGACTAGACTCAAAACCTTGAGGATAGGACCATGTCTTATCAATCTTTGTATCCTCTGTGAAAGGTAGCAGTATGAACCATATGTGACAGATAATTCTTATGAGTTGCTGAGTGAGTGACTATGTATCTGACCTTGGTAATTCATTCATATGGAATATCAGGGATAAGATTAACAAAATTGCGAGCTTTGTGGAGTGATACCATGATTTCACACTGTATTCTTTGCAGAACTGGAATGGTGGTGCCGTGGGGTTTTTTTCATTTGGGATTAACTAAGAAAGTTATGATATACATATAATCATTCAGGTAGCTTCACAGCAGGAGAGTGAGGAGGCTGTCCAGTGGGAGTTTATGCTTATTAAAGTTTATGTTTTTTTCTTTAAAGATTTATTTATTTATGCATACAAGAGCTGGGGTATAGGCTGGAGTTGTGGGGTTCACCAGAGACAGAGAAGATTCACCAGAGACAGAGTGGGGAACAGAACAGGCAGATTGACTACAATACACTGCTGAGGGGAGCAGCGGGCGAGTCAGGAGAGGTCTGCTGCGCCATAGTAGCTCCCTGGCTGGGGATCAAACTCATGCTGCAGTGGCTTTGGATAGCTTCATAGGTGCGTGTTAACCCTTGTGCCACTGGGAGGCCCTAAAGTTTATTGAAACATAATCCTGCAATGCAGATCAACTCTACTTTAATCTTTCTAACATATTGGGCTACTATGTATAACTATTATTTTGTTTGAAGAGTGTGGTTACAGAGTGTTTAGAAAAAAACACTTTGGTGGAGAGCCCCACTGTGATGGATTGATGTGCAGAAGAATATAATTCTGTTGTCATAGCGTTGCTTGTAAGTTCTTGTAGATTTAAGGGTTCAATATATATTTTGTATGATTCACAAAAGTGAATTTTCCCTCTTCCTAGCCATCTTCCCATTTTATCATCTTTTCTAATGTATGTGTAACTTTCTTGAAGTGTCAGTCCAATGTTAGCAAATGAAACTTCTACTCTTTGGAATAACTAACTCCTTTAGGTTAGGAGAGCTTTAAAAATATTCTGCCACCTGGATACAAAATCAACACGCAAAAGTCAGTAGCCTTCCTATACACAAACAATAAATCTGAAGAAGAAATCAAAAAAAAATCCCTTTTATTATTGAAACAAAAAAAATCAAATATTTGGGAATAAATCTAACAAAAGAGGTAAAGGACCTATACAAAGAAAACTATAAAACACTGTTAAAAGAAATAGAAGAAGACACAAAGAAATGGAAAGACATCCCCTGCTCATGGATTGGAAGAATAAACTTATTAAAATGGCCATCCTACCAAAAGCTATATACAGATTCAATGCTATTCCAATCAAAATTTCAATGTCATTCTTCAAAGAAACAGAACAATTATTGATGAAATTCATATGGAATCACAAAAAACCCCGAATAGCCAAAGCTCTCCTGAAAAAAAGAGAAGGGAATGGAGGCATCACACTCCCAGACTTCAAACTCTACTACAAAGCCATAATCATCAAAACTGCATGGTATTGGAACAAGAACAGACATACAGACCAATGGAATCGAATCGAAAATCCAGAAATAAACCCACAGATTTATGGTCAACTAATCTTTGACAAAGGAGCAAAGACTATGCATTGGAGCAAAGAAAGTTTGTTCAATAAATGGTGCTGGGAAAACTGGATCGCTACATGCAAAAGAATGAAGCTTGACCACTACCTCACACCATACACAAAAATCAACTCAAAATGGATTAAAGAACTAGACATAAGACCTGAAACCATAAAATATATAGAAGGAAATATAGGCGAAACACTACGGGATTTGCACATCAAAGACATCTTTACAGACACATCACCCAAAGCAGTGATAGTGAATGCAAAGATAAACAGCTGGGACTACATCAAATTAAAGAGCTTCTGTACAGCAAAAGAGACAATAACAAAAACAAAGAGAAACCCCACCAACTGGGAGAACATTTTTGCACACCAACACTAATGATAAAGGACTGATCACAAAAATCTGCAAAGAGCTGATGAGACTCAACAACAACAAAGAAAATAATCCCATCAAAAAATGGGCAGAAGAGCTAAAAAGAAACTTCTCTGAAGAGGAAATGCAAATGGCCAACAGGCATATGAAAAAATGTTCAACATCACTTGTCATCAGGGAAATGCAAATCAAAACTACCATGAGATACCATCTTACACCAGTGAGAATGGCACATATTAAAAAAACTAGCAACAACAAATGTTGGCGAGGGTGTGGAGAAAAAGGAACTCTTCTGCACTGTTGGTGGGAGTGCAAACTGGTCCAACCACTATGGAGAGCTGTGTGGAGATTTCTGGACCTACTAAACATCGAGCTTCCATATGATCCAGCAATTCCACTCCTAGGTCTTTACCCAAAGGACACAGAAACATCCATTCCAAAGAACACCTGCACCCCTATGTTTATAGCAGCACTATTTACAATAGCTATGCTTTGGAAACAGCCCAAATGCCCAAAAATAGATGACTGGATCAAGAAGATGTGGTACATATATACCATGGAATATTACTCAGCATTCAAAAAAGATAAACACATGCAATTTGCAGCAACATGGATGGCGCTGGAAGGGATCATGCTCAGCGAAATAAGCCAAAAAGAAAAAGAAAAATACCGGATGGTCTCACTCATAGCAGGAATCTAGAAAACTTAAATAAGGGACCAGGAAAATGAATAACTATAAGAAAGTGAAAATCAAAATCAACAAAAAACTATGAACCAGAGACACTTTTTGGGGGGTAGGGGCGGGAGGGGAGGGATTGGGGTCAGAATGGGGGGTTGCAATTGTATGGGGAATATAAAAATAAAATTTATTATTTAAAAAAAAATATTCTGCCACCTACTACAATGTGGATTTGGTTTAATAAAAATTGTATGGATATGTAGGCATGTATGTATTTATTATTGTTCTATGTATTTTTTCAGTTTCAGGTGTGTCCCAAAAGTCTGTGTGTGTCTACTCCTGGACACCGTACTGATCTTTTTCAGAGGGATCCTAAAATGTTCTAATAACTGATTTCTTTGGAAGTGTACGGAAAGTGGAAATTACAACAGAGACTATTAGTTTGCAGCCGGATTCAGGAATCATGGAAAGCAGGTATTCATCTTAAATTATTATTTGAATAGAATTTTTGGTCTCACAATGTATAAATTTTTATGTACGGTAATATTAAAAGATGAAAATTGGTGCTTGTAAAAATTACAGTTTTACCTGATGTTCACTTTATGTATGCCCCAGCGTTTCAGATTTATGAGACAGAGCTATGATTATCAGTGGGAAGGTAAGATCATGATTAGGATGATGTGGTAACTCCAAAATATAATGTTTGTAGTGGTGTGATTTGAGATTTGCTAAAAAAGGACAAAAATTTCCTGATAATTGGCCATCTCAGAGCCATACATTTCTTTCAATGGAGGTATGTATATAATATATATGTATATATATAAATAAAATATGTATATATGGTTCAGAAGAGTTTTTTAATAAAAGGACGGGTATGTAAAAATTTGAAACCATTAATACTATTTAACTAGTGTGTGTGCTGTTAACTGTTATGTTAGAAGGTCTTAAATGATGTGACATTGACTAGGAAATTTGGCAGGTGGGTATTTAGCTCTGTTTATTATACTCTAAATAAGCTCTGCTTATTATACCTGTCAGATAAACACAAAGGGGAGTGCTGAGAGATTATAGGTGCCAAATACATCAAACTATGACATAGTGTTTTCATGTTCAAAATTTCTCAAGCCTCCAGTAATCTGATTAATTCTTTGACTGCCATGCATATTGGTTCCTGAGTATGGGTGGTTTTACAGCTTGGTTCTGTCTTATCTCTGGCTTTCCCCTATTGTACCCTATTAATCTTGAACTATTGTAGATGTGAAGTTGGCCCCCATCAATAAGTACCACTGTTTAGAATTTCCTTGGGTGCTCTTGATAATTTATTAGGGAAAAGAAAAATACAGAGAAAGGTATAAACCACATGCATTTCCCTTGTAGTGAGTAGATTGTGTGTGAGCGAGCAGATAGTGCATTCATGCACGTTTGTGTGTGTGTGTGTGTTTGTGAGAGAGAGAGAGAAAGAGAGAGAAGAAAGAGAGAGAACAAGAGAGTGAGAGACATTGATATCCTGTATGAATCTCATAGCAGATCACACATAATGCCTTCCTTTATCCCTTGACTTTAAGCCTATAGTATATAAGATTCAACTTTGCTTAACCATCTAAACATTGCATTGTTTTCCTTGATAGTCTTTTCTCCATGTAACACATTAATTATGTTATAATTGTGCATTAAGATATGATTTTGCTGGAATTCTATTAGATATTCTGGAAAAACGGAATTTTGTTTCAAATTATCTCCATTGTCAAAAGCAAAATTTGTTGGTGCTGATGATTATCTTGATTTATTTTTGATTTTGAGAAAATTATTATAAGCATCGTAGTAGGATACCAGACACTTGAATTAGAGCACCCTCTACTGTTTGTATTTTATTTTATTTAGAGTATCATTTATAGATGGCTTCACAATTACTGGTATACTGTATCCAATTAATTTAGAATTAGATTCCCAGCATGCTCCGGGAACTTTTACATGGATTTACAAATATTATTTTATTGTATGTAGGTGCTATTTCTATGTGATATGAATGGCTGTTGGAGTTTGGAGAAAAGTATTTTCATAAGAGATCAGATTTCACACAAAAAGGCAATTATGTAGAATACATGATTTTTTTCAGAATCTTAGATTAAAAAATGTCAATACAATTAGTATTATTGAAATTGGCAGCTGTATTTTTAAAATACTACGTTCTACATATATCAAGGGACAATGCAACAATTGATTCATATTTTTCTAACTTCATGTTTTGTGGACTAGAGTATACTAAATTAAAATCAACATATAATAGAGAACTTACAGTATATAAAATTTACTAAAACAGCTATATGAGATGATTCTCCTGTCTTCTGAAGCTTAGATATTGAGTAAGGTATAGTCATATAGTTAGTAACAACACTGTGTATGTCTTTCTAATTGTGTTATTTTACAAGAACAAATGAGGTAAAATAAAGACTTGGTGTGGTAAGCTTAACTTATATAACTTGATTCTAAACTGCTTCATATGAATATACATAGGTTGACTTTTGATAAGTATACAGACAAAAAACAGCCTGCCCTCCTCAAAGAATTGGGCTTACTAGAATCTAGTTATAAATTCAGGTCAGCATTACTCAGATTATCAGTATGCTGTCCTTACTGTATAGGAAAAATAGCTTCCTGTTTGTGGATGTAAAAAAAAAAAAAAAAAAAACGTAGCGGTCTAAATCTTTTGGCATTGCTGAAGACAAAAGAGAATCCAGGACAATATGAACTGTAAACACTCAATCAACCTAGTTAGTTAGATGAAAATTTACCTTGTGTGAATTTTTTGCTTTAGGCTCTAAATTGATTTTATTTACGATTTTCTTGTAATTTTTATTCTGCTATACTGGAATTTTTCTCAAGTCTGTCTTTAGCAATTAAGCATTTTTGAGTCTAGCAGGAAATTTAAGGCTGGACTCTTTTCTTGCAGATTTCTAATAGACTTCCAATAGAGGGGTAAGTAGCTCATCAAAATCACTCTATGTTGAGCAACAGAGTAGAACTCTTTCAAGGAGTTGGTAAGGAAGTTTTCTCCTCATTCAAGAGTTCAAAGATCAGAGAATTACTCCCACAGTCAGCATATTTTGAGCCCTTCCTGAGGCTTTACACTGTATATAATGCATTTAGGTAGGACTTCTGAGTTGTAAATAATAGAATAATAGAATTCTGTGTTACGTGGAATACAAGGACAAGCCCCAGTCAGGGGCTGGAATCAGAACCAGAAATCAATCAGAAAAACATCTAGCACATTCTCCATCTTGTGATTTTAGTCTTTTTTTTTGTTTCTGCTTTGGTCATGTAGAGGATAGAATATGTGTACATTACTGCTTTGGAGATTTATATTTCTTCTGTTCATGATAAAGCCGAGACAGAGAATGAACTTGCTCATTTCCTATTCTAAGCTCCTTGGAGGGCTTCATGATTAGCCCAGCTTGGGAGAGATACCTGTCTCTGGAACAGTTTTGCAGCAGTGGGGTGATATAAAATTATGGCCTCCCATCCCATGTAGATAAGATGAACCCTAAAAGGGGACTTGGAAACTAAGCAGATACCCCTAGTGATGTTTGCATTGATCTCATTGAATTCACATGATGACATTTTGAGAAAGTATAATTTTCCCATTTTACAGATGAGTTAACTGAGGCCTTGAAAGGTTAAGAGATCAGCCTAAAGTCACACATTTAACAAATGGTAGAGCCAAGATATGAATTCAGGAATGCTTGATATAAATAAATACATGTATATGTACACACACATATATATAAAAATATAAATGTACATATATAAAATATATTTATTCTTTTTTTTTTCTTTTATAATTTATCCTGAGTTACTTGGCATGCTTTTTTTAAAAAGGCATGAAACATTGATAATAGCTCAATGAATTATTACAATGTGATTACTCAGTGAACCACCAGAGAAAGAAATGGAACAATGCTGGTCCAATGGAAGCTCCCCTAACCCTTGTAGTTCTTCCAAATCTCTATCCTCTTACTTCCCTTCAAAGTTAACTATTATCCCAACTTTTATGTGGTTTACTTTCTTGCTGTTCATTTTAGTTTTTCTAGTGCTCTTTGTTTTAGTTTTCTCATGTAAGCATGTATTTCTAAACACTGTGTTTTGATTCTTTCACTATTATTATGTTGTTGGAACTCATGTTGTGTACAGATGTAGGTTTTTTTTTTTGAGTATTAAAAACTTGAGTTATAACTTCCTTACTAATTTAGTGCTGAGTTTTGACAAACACATACACTTGGATAATCATCATGCCAATCTGTCATTATAAGAAATTTCCTTATGTCCCTTTTTATTGAATTATCATGTCCGTGAGAACCACTGATTATTTGCTGCCCTTTCTTGAATGTAACATAGATAGAATCACACATTCTGTTCCTTTTTGAGTGTTGCTTCTTATGCTGACATAATGTATTTCAGATTCATGTCTGTTATCACATGTATCAGCAGTTTTACCCTTTTTATTGCTGAGTAGTAGTCAGAAATACAAAGAAACAAACTACTGATATTTTTGATACAGTTTATTCATTCTTATACTGACATATAATTGGCATTGAATTAGCTTGTCAATTTCTGAAAAAGCCTACTGGGGTGATCCTTTCCTGCTTGGGATAGCATTGACTGTATGTTCTCTTGAGGGGTATGGACACCTTAGCAATTTGAGTTTCTAACCCAATAACATATTTTTAAATTTGTTTAGATCTGTATAACTTCTCTCTGCATTGTTTCATAGTTTTCAGTACATCTATCACTTCACTTTTCATTAAATTTATTCCTAAGCATTTTTATTTTGATGCTATTTTAAGTGATATTTAAGCAATTTATTGTGTTTGTTGCTCAAATAGAGAAATGCAATCATATTTACATTGGGTATGTTGTGTGTTGTAATTGGTTCTGGTGTTGATCAATGCAGTCCAAATAAAAATGACGGCAGACGGGCCTCCCCTGGTGGCGCAGGCAGTTGAGCGCCTCGCTGTGAAGCTGTCCTCAGCCTCTGCAGTGCCCGTTCGTTCCCGGCCTGCCGGCAAGGGTCACCGTGGTGAAGCAGACCTCTCCTGTCTTGCCCGCTGCTCCCCTCAGCAGTGTATTTCATCAGTCTGCCTGTTCTGTTCCCAGCGCTGTCTCTGGTGAATCCTCTCACCCTCCCGCGCATCTGGCCTGTACCCCGGTTCTTGTATAAATAAATAAATAAATCTTAAAAAAAAAAAAAAAAAACGACGGCAGACATTTTTTGGGTAGAAATTGTTAACTGATTCTAAATTTCTTTTTAAAGATTTATTTATTTATTTATACAAGCACTGGGTACAGTCAGAAGCACGGGAGGGTAAGAGAATTCACCAGAGCCAGAGCAGGGAACAGAACAGGCAGACTGATGAAATACACTGCTGAGGGGATCAGCAGGCGGCAGGAGAGGTCTGCACACCCTGTGGAACCCTCTG